TTTCTTTTCTTTTCTTTTCTTTTCTTTTCTTTTCTTTTCTTTTCTTTTCTTTTCTTTTCTTTTCTTTTCTTTTCTTTTCTTTCTTTTCTTTTCTTTCTTTCTTTCTTTCTTTCTTTCTTTCTTTCTTTCTTTCTTTCTTTCTTTCTTTCTCTCCTTCCTTCCTTCCTTCTTTCTTTTTTTTTGTTTTTGTTTTTGTTTTTGTTTTTCAAGACGGGGTTTCTCTGAGTAAGAGCCCTGGCTGTCCTGGAACTCACTGTGTAGACCAGGCTGGCCTCCAACACACAGAGATCTGTCTGCCTCTGCCTCCTGAGTACTGGGATTAAAGGTGTGCGCCACCACTGCCTGGCCCTAAGGACTTTCTTTAAGCCTAAGAAATTGACATTTTCCCTGTGTTTAAATCCATGAGGTTGTTATTTTCCCCATGAAGAAACTGAGACTTAAGTCATAGAGGTGGCCAGTGGCGAGGCCCATATTCAAGTCGAGATCAAATGCCCGTCATCTGGTACCTTCCTCTTAGCCATAACTTGCTTTTCACAAATTCGGCTTTCCTTGTAAGGGGAAAATGTGGCGGTGGATAGTACAAACAGCCAGTAGGTACACAAAGTAATCGTTGGCGCTGGCGAGCGCAAGGCTTTCCAGCCAGTCGTCTAGCGGTAAGGACATTATCAAAAGTAGCCATTTTAATCCTAGCGGCCGGAACTGTTTGGTCGGATTCACTCTGACCCCCACGCTGGCAGTGGTGCTGTGTGGAAATGAAGCACTTGTGCTCCTGTTGCTGGCTGACGGCTTCCTGCTCGCACCGTTCTTAATGGCCATGTGCCACTCGTTGACGCTAGCAGAGTGACTGCCATCTGGACCAGCACTGTCAGGAGCCTTCACTTGATCCTCGATTGTGCCCGTATTTGAGTAAACAAGACAACAAGTGAGTAGCAGTGAAGACCAGCAGACAGAAAAGCGGTTTCTCCCAACAGGGAGTGCAGATGAGGAAGGCTTGCTTCATCAGGAGCAAAGCACCTTGGGTCCAGCCTGTCCCGGGCTGTCCTGTGCAGGACACACATCTCAGCACCACAGCAGATGGCTACCTTTAGGTCTCATTCTGTTCCTAGTCCCTGCACCCACCCCAGTGTGTGTGTGTGTGTGTGTGTGTGTGTGTGTGTGTGTGTGTGTGTGTGTGTGAAAGAGAGAGAGACAGAGAGACAGAGAGACAGAGACAGAGAGACAGAGGAGGAAGGCAGGGGTGTGTGTATGTGTTGATACTGACCAGTCTACATGAGGGGCACTCGGGTGACTAATAAATATATTAGACAGTGTCATATCATAAATACCATTTACAACAATCCACCAAGAGACTCACTCTGGTGGGGGGCGTTCTTGTTTCTGTACTCTCCATTAAGTCCAACACGAAGCTGTGTTCATCACACACAGAACCAACTTAACTGAGAGAGAGAAAGACTCTGAAGCCAGCTGAGGCTGTGGGATGGAAGGATTGTGGTGGAGAGCGCCGGGTCCTCTCTGCCTTGGGGAGCTAGCTTGTCCGGCACACCACTTTCCTTCTTTCAAAGATCTCCTTTGGACATTTGTTTGAGACAGATCTCAGACAAGTTGACTGAGCTTTGGTTTGTGTGTGGATGCCTTTATTTACCCTTCAGTTTGGGACATGGTTTTGCTAGATTGGAATTCCAGGTTGATATGTGTTTTTCCATGTTTTGAAGATCTCAGTCTACCTTTTCTTGCTTGCCTTTGTGAAAAGAAGTGCCTTTCAATTCAGATTCTAGTTCCTCCCTCATGGTAAGGTGTTCTTTCTCTCTTGCAAGATTTTTCCCTTTGATTTCATGTCATTTGAATTTTGATATGCCTAGCTATAATTTTTGGTATTTATCCAGGCTGGTATTTCTGAAATTTCTGGATCTATCGTGAACTTCAGAAAATTCTCAGTTATCTTTACTTATTCTCCCGTTCCTTTGTCCTTTCCCAGTATTCTCACTGTGTGGACGCTGCATCATTTCTAGGTGTCTCTCAGTTCTTGGATATTCTGCTATGTTTTGTCATCCTTTTCTAACCTCTGCACTTGGGCGAATTTGCCCCTTTTTGTACTGATAAACCTACCAAAGGCATTATTTATTGCTTACGTTGTGTGTGGTGTAGCCTTCTGTTTTGATTCCATCTCAGGTTGTTAAGAGACACACTTATCCATCTATTCTCATGTGCTGTCTCCCTTTTCCACTAAGTCCTTAGCATGTTAACCATAGCTACTTTATATTCTGGGTTGGATAATTCCAAAATATCCATCACCACTAAATCAGTTTCTGGATTTTAATATGTCACTCCAAACTATTTTTCTTGCCTTTAGCATTCCTCACTATGTTTGTTGGACATGAAGCGTATTGGGAATGGGCTACATAGACCTTTACTGGTAGGGGTCATCTGACCAGGAGTTAGTGGTGTTTACCATCTGCTGTGACCACAGATCTCTGTATAGTCCCCTTCCTCCTGCACCTTTCTGTCTCCACTGTTGTCTCTGAGTTTCCTCACAAGTTTCAGAGCCTGAACCCTGCACTTCCTTCATGTGCATTCCTCCAGTGCACAGGGGTTCTGTGGCTGCCCCTGTGGTGTGTGGGAAGTGGTCAACATTCCTGAGGGCAGGTCTTTCAGGTGGGTTTGTGTCCCTGAGCACAGGTTTCCCTCAGCACTTCCTGCTTCTACCTTCAGTGAGACAAGAAGGCTAGATGGACTAGAATCTCTATCAGCTATCTACAGTTCTTCAGTCAGACTAAACCTTTGGTAAAATACTTTTCCTTTCAATACAAATGAACAGACAGCAGACCCCCAGGAGACCCCCTTTTCTAGCTGAACACAGGTGGAGGGCTTTTCTCTGGTCCCCATAGTGAGAATATGATGTGGATCCGGAAGTAAAACTCAGACTTTTAATTTATGAGTATCTCTGCAATGAGCCTCCAGCAATCTGTCAAGCGGAGCTTCAGTGCCCTCCCCATGGCTACAGCCACTCTAGTCTCTGGCTCCTGCGCCCTCTGAGTTGTCGTCTTTGAATCCTACCATCGTGCTTTTTCAGGGAAGCTTTTTGCCACAGTGATCACAGGGAATGATATTTTGTTTGCATTTTGCTCATTGTAAGGATAGAGGTGACCATGTTCAACATCTTTAACACGCTAGAGGAATATCCAGAAGTCTAAGTTGCTCTTTAGTGATAATTGTACAAAAGTGGGCATCATAGTAAAACCAAGGGACTAAGTTATATTGGTGGCTGGATTTTATTCATTTTGATTATTTGGTCATGTTATGGAACTTGAACCTGCATTTATATGAAAACAATTAAGTATAATATGAGCCATATATACTCATTCTTACAATTTTACATCTCTCGGGAACAATCTACTGCTTAGTAAGGAAAGCCTTTCACTAGCTCTGCTGTTAATCTTTGCAACTATTAAGACTGCAGAGATTTAAAGAATGTATTTACCCTTGGCCGTCCTATCATTTGATTATAGTAAACAAGATACAGCACTGCTTTTTTCTCTTTTACCAAGATATCCTTTTGTTTTTTTTTTTAAGATTTATTTATTTATTATGTATACAGCATGTATGACTGCCGGCCAGAAGAGGGCACCAGATCTCATTACAGATGGTTGTGAGCCACCATGTGGTTGCTGGGAATTGAACTCGGGACCTCTGGAAGAACAGTCAGTGCTCTTAACCTCTGAGCCATCTCTCCAGCCCCCCAAGATATGCTTTATGTCTAATAACTGTGTCAATTGCTAATTGTAAGAAGAGCCAGAGCTGGCACTTTTTATTAGTGCTTTAGGTCTTTATCAGACTTGAAAAGCCTTGTGCTTAATCAAACAGCTGTGGATTATAGTGACCGCACGGCTAAAGATTGCTCTAGCCCTCCGGAGTCATCAAAAATGTATTTCTTACAGAGCACAATCCTAAGTAGGAAGCATTGTTTACATTATGGTTTGAGAGGCTTTTGGAGCTGCAGAAGATTTTAAACCCCCTTTCTGTTTACTTAGGATGATTCCAACTGTAGTTGACCAGAAAGCCTTTATTTTCCCCTTGGAGTCTGAGGATAAACTGTGGCAACCTCAAAAGCAGCCTGGTTCACTTTCACATGGCCTTACAAAAGCAAAGGTAGGAAGAGCCTATGAGTCCGGCGGGAGTGGGGTGGAGAGTTGGGGGTGGGGAGGGAGGCCAGGGTGTGAGGGTTCTTCAGGGAGAATGACAATGTTCCAGAGTTACATAGTGGTGAGGGTTTACAGCTCTATAAATGCACTAAATACCACTGAATACACACATTCAAAAAGGGAGCCTGCTGATATATAAATTATATCCCAATAAAACTGCGAATTTTTTTCTAAGGTGGCATTTCTAGTATTTGGTGATGGTGGGGAAGGGTTTATTTAGCTTACACTACCATATCACTGTTCATCACCAAAGGAAGTCAGGACAGGAACTCAAACAGGGCAGGAACTTGGAGGCAGAAGCTGATGCAGAGGCCATGGAGGGTGATGCTTACTGGCTTGCTCCTCATGGCTTGCTCAGTCTGCTTCTTATAGAACCCAGGACCACCAGGTCAGGAATAGCACCACCCACAATGGGCTTGGCCCTCCCTCATCAATCACTAATTAAGAAAATGCCTTACAGGCCTGCCTATTAACCAATTTTATTTTAAAACATGACAAAATAAAATATAATAAGATAAAGCAAGAACCATCATATCGAAGTTGGACATGGCAACCCAACAGGAGGAAAAGAGTCCCAAGAGCAGGCACAAGAATCAGAGACTCACTTGGTCTCATAGTCAGGAGTCTCATAAAAATACTAAGCTAAAAGCTATAATATATACACAGAGGACCTGGTGCAGACCCATGTGGGCCCTATGCTTGCTGCTTCAGGCTCTGTAAGAAAACTACTAAACTTTTAAAAAGAGTAAATATTTACATTGTGTTTTAAATTAGATAATATAATGCGCATTTTGGTCTGTTTCTATAATTTGATGTTACTGTTGTTTTGGATGTATCTATAGCACAGTTAATTTCTTAAAGAACTTTCTTTAGAAGTAAAGTCAATCAAAGAACACTGTTTTTTTTTTTTTACAAACTGAGTTCAGAAGGAATGTTTCCTGCTACTCTGCTGAGCATGTTTACCAGCAGTAGGAACTTCCTGGTGTAGTCTTGAGAGTCTTAGGGAGCCACCATGTGATCTGCAGATAAAGATGCTTGGCTTCTTCCTTTCCTGTTTGTTGCCTTGATTCCCCACCAGTTGTCTGTTGAGTAGGAATGGGAAAAGGAGACATCTCGTCTTGTTCATACTTTAGTGAAAATACTTGGAGTTTCTCTCCATTTAACATGATGGTGGCTGTGGGCTTGCTGTAAATTGCCTTTATTATGTTGAGATATGTTGTCCATATCTCTGTTCTCTCCAGGACTTTTACCATAAAGGGATGGTGGATTTTCTCCAAGGCCTTTTCTGCATCCAGTGAGATGGTTTTTTTTCTGTCTTTTCATCTATTTATGTGGTGGATTGTGTTTATTGACTCATGTATATTAAACCATCCCTGAATCTCTTGGGTGAAACCAACTTGATCATGGTGGATACTCTTGTTGATGTGTTATTGAATTGGGTTTATAAATACTTTATTGAGAAGTTTTACATTTGTGTTCATCAGAGATTTTGGCCTAAAATTTTCTTCCCCTTCCCCTTCCTTCCTTCCTTCCTTCCTTCCTTCCTCCCTCCCTCCCTCCCTCCCTCCCTCCCTTCTCTTTCTTTCTTTCTTTCTTTCTTTCTTTCTTTCTTTCTTTCTTTCTTTCTTTCTTTCTTTCTTTCTTTCTTTCTTTCTTTTTCTTCGTTTGGCTTTGGTATCAGGGTAATACTGTTTTGGTAGAAGAGATCTGGTGTTGTTCCTCCCTTTTCTATTTTGCAAAATAGTTTGAAGAGTATTGGTGTAAGTTTTATGAAGGTCTGGTAGAATTCTGCACTGAATTTATCTGGCCCTGGGCTTTTTTCAGTTGGGAGATTTTTAATTACTGCTTCTATCTAACCGGGTATCATGGGTCTATTTAAATTATTTACTTTAGGTAGTTTGTATGCATTTAGAAATTCATCTTTTTTTTTTTTTAGATTTTTCAGTTTGGTGGAGTATAGTTTTTTTTTTAAAAGATTTATTTATTTATTATGTACACAGTGTTCTGTCTGCATGTCTCCCTGCCCACCGGAAGAGGGCACCAGATCTTATTATGGATGGTTGTGAGTCACCATGTGGTTGCCAGAAACTGAACTTTGGAAGAGCAACCAGTGCTCTTAACTTCTGAGCCATCTCTCCAGCCTGAAGTAGTAGATCTTTAAAGAGTTCATAAGGTCTCTAACTTTGCCTCCACGGAGTGTTTTTTCAGATTGGTTCTGATTCCCTCTTTGTGTTAGTTGGTTCAGCCCTCTCCAACAGCATACCACAGACTGACATTGAAGAAGTCTGCCTTTTACAGTTACTGATGCTACAAGGCCCAGGCAAAAGGCAGAGCGGGTATGTGATGAGGGCCCATTCCCAGTTTGGCACTAACTCCATTCCTTATAATCTATAGTATCACACCAGGGTAAAATGTGCTTTGGGGAGGGATAGGAACATGCAGTGTGTATTGAGTATCCCAAAGTCATCATAGGTCATCTCCCTTGGGTACCAAATTATCATTACTGTGGAAATACCAAGATGTTTAACATTCAGGACAATCCTAGAAGAGGGCATTACCAGTACCTTCAGTTTATTTGGAAAGAGATCAAGGTACACAATGCGAGATGTGTTGTCCAAGAGCACACAGCTTATGGGTGTCTGAGTCAGGATTCTGAACCCAGAAATGTAGGGCCACAAAGTGTGCTCATACTCACTGTGGTATTCTTTTTATGACAGCCCTTTTGAATTCAAATGCCCATCATAAAACTCACTACTTTACAGTGCTTAGTTGGCTAGAGTTTTAGTATACTCACAGAGTTACGTAGCAGTCATGGGGAGGAAACCCTTTTTCAGTGCTTACATTACCTTGCTTTTCTCCTTGATCACACTTGCACAGATGTAATTGGCTAGGGAACTGCATGGCTTTTTTTTTTTAAGGTTTGTCGTTCTTTTAGATCAAACTCAATGAGTGTAGAATCTGTGCCAGCCTGTCCACGGCTATGCCATGCCAGAGGACTCTCAATAAATACTTTGTGAATGAGCAAATGAAACCACCACAAAGACCACCAAAGGTGTGCTCATGCCCAAGTTAAGCCTCCCTTTCGGCTCCTCTGCACTCACAGGGCAGCCCACTCAGGCCTCTGTCCTGGCTCTTGCTACGTTAGGCCCAGACACTGTTTGTGGATGCTTGCCAAGGATTGGTGAGGACATGTTGGAATGAGGAAGATAGATCAGGTCTCTGCTGCCACAGAACTTCTAGTTGGGTCAGAGGAGACAAACCATCAGTAGACCAGCAGACAATGATAAACCCTGACGACAGTGTGCTGCAGTTAGGGCGCTCACACTTCCGGCTGCCTGCTGTTCAGTAGCTGCTGCTTCTATTCAGTTTCTAGGTTTTTGTTGTTGTTGTTGTTTGAGGGGTGTGTGTGTGTGTGTGTGTGTGTGTGTTTTCTGCTAAGAAACCTAGAAAGGGCCACAGTGGTTCACAAGACCAGAGACTGGAGGCCTAGAGACCTATAAAAACCATGAAAGTATCTGAGATTAGGATCACTGTAAAATGTGTAGTTGTTGTTATTCCATTAGAAAGTTAAACGTTGGTCAGAAATTTATTTTCTCTGCAAGAGTTTTGAGCCCTAGTAAGTGAGCATGAATATAAAGACAAGGAAGTATGTGCTAATGGGAGCAACACTGTGTTCTCTGGACTAGGGGAGCTCTGTTTGCAGAGGGCCATGGACCTTTCCCACCCTGACTTGATTTCCCCTCCAGGCCTGACTCCCTGGACATCCCAGGTGACATCTGCTTTAAAATGTGTGTCTGCCCTGACAAATGGAGCGTGCCTTTAATCCCAACACCAAGGTCAAAGGCAGGTGGATTTCTGAGTTCAGGGCCAGCCTGATCTACATAGAGAGTTACGAGACAGCCAGGACTACATGGAGAGACTATTTTTCTTTTTAAAGTGTGTCTGCTGACACAAAGGACAGCTCTGACCCTGCACTGTCAAGTGCATGGAAAGCGGGCTCCTCCTGCAGCATACAGGCCTGCACTTTTAAGTAGGGATAAAATCAAGCCAGGCGATGCCAACCTTTGATCACTGACTTTCAACATTTTAAACCAGGCCAAGCCCAGTTTCTTTTTCATACTGTCTGCCCCCAAAGTGAATAGCTGTTTTTGGAATTCTAATTCTTTCCAAAAGGCTTAGGTGACAATTAGGGGTTGCTCAACTGTAATTAAGGATCACAACTAAGAATTATTTCTTAAGCTTTTTAATATATGAAAATCTTAAGTTTTACAAAAAAAATTGACAATTTAAAAATTATAGGAGTATTCTCACCTTTTTTGAAGGATTCCTCTCAAAAAATATAGAAGCAGTGATGAAATATTAGTGAGTAAAATTACAATCTGAAATCTTCTTCTTCCTCTCTCTCTGTGTAACTTTGCACCTGTCCTGGATCTCACGCTGTAGACCAGGCTGGCTGCAAACTCACAGAGATCCGCCTGCCTCTGCCTCCCAAGTGCTGGGATTAAAGGTGTGCGCCACCACCACGCAGCTGGGATCTGAAATCTTATTTTCAGAATTACAGATGCATTAGTGACTTTTCCTGTTGCTGTGACAAAACACCAAACAAAAGCACTGTAAAGAAGGAAGGCGTCATTTGTCTCACCATGTGAAGGCACAGTCCATCTTGGCAGGAAGGCATGGCAGCCCAAGTGTGAGGTCACGTGTCTGCAGTCAGGAAGCTGAGAGCTGAATGCTGCTGCTCACTGGCTTTCTCCTCTGTTTCTGTCCGAGATCCCAGCCTGTGGGATGGTGCCACCTCAGTCAGGATGGTCTCCCCTCTTTCATTCAGACATCTGGAAACACCCTCAGCGACAGGTGTGTTTCCATGGTGATTCTAAAAGCAGTCAAGTTGACAATGAAAATGAGCCATTACACTGGACACTGCAGATAAAATCAACAGTCTCCAGACTTGCTTATTAGAATACTCACTTGAATTGTCTCTGAATTTATCAGCCATACATAATTTACCAACAATGAATGCTTACTACAACAGTATCAAATGAAAAATGTAACACAAAGATGCTGAGGCAAAGCTAACCACCTCATCCCTCTTCTCCACCAAACTGCCTGGCCTATGCATTCCTCCAGACAGTTTTGTTTGCAATAATACATCCAGTACATGGCCTTTTTTTTTTTTTTTTTCCGAGACAGGGTTTCTCTGTGTAGTTTTGGAGCCTCTCCTGGATCTTGCTCTTTTAGACCAGGCTGGCCTCGAACTCATAGAGATCCACCTGGCTCTGCCTCCTGAGTGCTGGGACTAAAGGCATGCGCCACCACTACCCGGCATCATTATGTATTCATTTTTGTTTCAATATAGAACTAGTGAATTTTGCCCCGAGAGGTCTCAATAAGACCAGAGCCCCGGGATTATGTCTGATGTTTATTATCGACATACCACTCTATGCATAACTGCCAGTGTACCCCTGTTTGGGAAGCAGAGGATTGTACATCATCAATTTCTTTATCAGGTGTCTCGGAGGCCCTTGTGTGTGTCTGTCACTCTGCTGCGAGGAGTGTGTGGAATGCGTTCCCAGGCAGAGGAGCCTGCATTCATGGAAGACTGGGCACATGGCAGGGCAGCAGGAGAAAGAGAAATAAATATGCTCCAGTCTGATTAAGCGGAGTATGAAGCGAGCTGAACACTGTGGTCAGATCAGAATGCTCTTCTGTACTTGGTCTGAGAGGCTGAGTAATGTGTAGAGTGATGGAGAAAATAAAGACTTCCAGCGACCACAATAAACCGGCCTCTTCCATTCAGATTCAGAGGGATACGGTAAACATGCTGTTTCTGGGTGCCTGGTGATGCATCTGGCGCAGAGCACCCAGCCCGCATGGTCCCACTCTTCTGTAGAGTGTCTGTCATGTCTTCATGCTCCCCATTGCCCGGGTCAGGTTAACCCAAAATAGTGCCAGTCGTGGATAACATAGCAACAGAGCAGTATATGAATGGCCACCTTCTCTGCTTACATCTCACAGTTGTTAACCTTTACCATTTTTGCTTCATCTATTTTTACTGAAGCATTTTAAAGTACAGACCTAATGACATTTCACCTCTTAATGCTTTTAGCATGCATTTTTAAAATGAGCTTTTTCCCACTTGCAATACCATTATCACACCTAATACAGTCAACAGTGCTTGTGAATATAATACATCCCAGTTCACACTCAGATTGCCCCCGTGAGTCCTCAGATGGTGTCCCAGGCTCTTTACCAAAGCCGGGGTGGGGAGGTTTTCCTGCTGCATTTGTTTCACTTCCAAAGCAGGGACACTTCAGTTTGTGGCCGTCACCCGTGTGTAGAAAGTTTGGAACCTGGAGTAGGCTCTGAAGGGAGGCGCACTGCATGGTTTGAACTTGTACCCCAGTCCCATCACTTGCTAGTTACACTTTGGCTGGTCACTTGCTGTCTCTGTGGCCTGGCTCCTTACATGCAGATGTGGGTGAGGACAGCGCACATCTTGTAGGGCCGCTGCAAGGGTCGCAGGTTCCGTGTTCCCAGTGCGTTCCCAGCAATGCTCTACATGGCCAGCACTGAGCAGACGCAGGTGTTCACGATGGTTTTCGTGATTTGTCCCCACCAGCCTCTGAGGTACCTGAGGCGTGAGCCACTCCATCTCTTTGCCCTCATGAAACTCACATTCTAGTTGGGGTAGACAAGGAGAGTAAAACAAAACCCAAACAACTTGAAAATACCAGCTCACTGGCCAGCTCAACTCTAGGCTGTGTTTTGAAATGTAGGGGTCACAGAGAATCTGGCAATTGTAAAAGGTTTCTGAATAACGACCAAAAGCGGATTGGAAGTGAACACGCAGTGGTCGGGGGTGTTTCTTGGTCTCGCTTTCTGGTTCGTTACAGTAACACTGACTTCACTTGTGAGTCGCATTAGAGTTATGCACTACTTTGGGAGACTGCCAGACACATGCTTTTACCGTCATTTGTTATAGTTTAGTGTGCACATGTACTACACATTCTTTGAAGAGGTTTATAGTTACAGTGCAACTGAGTTCTAACTGATGGCACATGATTCCTACTGAACTGGGGTTGTCTATTGGGTCTCAGAAATAGGCCTGTAAGCCTATACCATCAATGGTATTTCCATGAGAAGATTCAACTAAATGCACATTTTATTTACATAATTTTTCCAGAAGTATGAACTACTACCAAGACTTATTTTTACAAACACTTTCTTGTTTGTGTGGAGTTTGGGAGCACACGTGCCAGGCGCACATGTGGAGGTTGGGATGGCTGAGAGACAGAGTCCATTCTCTTTTCCCACGGTGTGCATCCTGGAGACTGAACTCGGCTTCTTGACAGCAGCGTCTTTCCCAGTTGTACCATCTTGCCGGCCTGCTGCCCAGATTTTATTATAGGGCGTGCTGTAGTTAACTAACATCTGGAAAGTGGCACCCCAATTTCAAATGCCGTGTTAGCCAGCTTGCCAGGAAAGCCACTGTTCTCTGGCTACCAACATCTAAAAGAATTCATAGCAAGGGGACCATGGCGTGAGCAGCAGCCTGTGTGCTGTAAACACTGGACAGAAGTTGGGTCCCTCTGTTCTGAAAGACCATGAAGATGCTGTAGGTTCCACACTATTAGCCAGGTTGAGTTATTTATGTAAACATAAACAGCACATACTGTTATCCAGCACAGGATGCCAGATGTGTGTGTGTGTGTGTGTATGTGTGTGTATGATGAGCTCAAGGCCAACTTGAGTAACATACTAGGACTTCATTAAAAAATAAAAGTTGGAGTGTTACAGATATTTGGGGGCTGGTGAGATGCCTCAGCAAGTTAAGACCCTAGCCACCAAGCCTGATGGCTTAAGTTGGATCACCTGCCCCCACATCCTAGGAGGAAACTGACTTCTTCAAAGTGGTCCCCTGACACTCACCACACTCCTGTAACCCACAAACAAACAAACAAACAAATAAATAAATGTAATTAAAAGTTTTTAAAAGTTGCACAGAATGTCACCCTTGGCACAACACCCTGTAAACTAATAATTGTGTCACTGTGGCAGATTGTAAGAATGTGAACACAAAACCTTGCCTTGCCTTTCCTCACCCATGAGCTACTCTTCACCTCAGATGTTTTGGATTCAGTGCGGCTATGTGCGGGGAGCTTTGGGAACCCACAGTCCTGAGACAGACATTCAGCAAACAGTGGGGCAGGGCCCATACAGCGGTATGGGAAACCTGCCCTGAACTTGGGGTCCCGGCTGTGTCAGAACCAGGAAGAGCATCACCTCAGAGCATCCCAAGCTCCTTCTAGCAACTCGTGCTGCTGTGAGGACCAGCAACCACTGACCATGTGACCTCATGTCTTACTGCTTTTTTATTCCTTTCCTGCTCAGCTAGTGAGACTCCACAGTTAAGGCAGAAGCTCTTTTCTAGACCGTGTGTGTCCCCATGCCCATCACTGACAGGGCTCCTTGTGCTCCTTACCATGGCATGTGCACCCCACCATGGCTAAGATCATCCATTTCTCTGCCTTCCCTGCAGTACGGTGTGGCGGTGGGACCCACTTCACCTCAGGAGGACTGAGCAGTAGTCTGGTGGAGTCATCTGCTCATCTTTGTGATGAAGGGGACAGTCACAGATGCCACATCGCTTTGCTGTTCCTGTTTCCCTCTTCCTTTTGTGGAAACAAGCATGGCATTTGAAACCATGGCAGCCAGCTTTGCGCAGGTGACAAGCATGGCGGCAGCCTCTGGGGATAGTAGAATGGGAGAGGGAAGGTTCCTGGTGGCTTCTCTGTGGGACTAAAGAATTCAGGCAGTCATCTACTGTGGCACGTGACAAGGGACCCAAAAGGGCTTCCCCCACTTAACATCAGAGTCAGTGGCCCAGCGCTATAATCACGCACTCACAGAATTGAGTCCATCTCTGGACTCTGCTGTCTGTGACTGGGACTCTGCTGTCCATAGTGATGTGGACTGCCCTGACTTCAATTTTATGGCCTCTGGGTTTCAAGTGACACTAAACTCGGCACAGTAATGCTCTCACTTTCCAGTACTGAAATCCCTTGCACATCCCCCACCTGCCCTCCGGCTTGTTCTCGTCCCTCCTTAAGGTCACATTCATTGAAGGGAGGGGAGCAGATGAGCACCTCTTCCTCTTCCTTCCAGCCGCAGTGGAAGAAGTGTGCTCCTCCCGGTTGTGAAGGCCAGCTTCCAGTGGCCTTGGTCTCCGCAGCTGTCTCTGCTCACTAGTTAGTTTCTCTCTCCTCGGGGAATCCCAGATACTTGCATGACTGACTGAGTTTCTTCACTCAGGTCTTAATGTCATTACCATCTCCTAAGAAAGACCATCCTAGACCGACATACCCAAGGAAGCCTCTCTTTATTGTCCATCCCAGTGATGGACAGAGATCTGGGGTCAGCGGCAAATCAGCCTCCCCGCTGGCAGGTCATCAGGCGTAGCAGTCTCTTGCCCAGTTACCCGCGCTGGGAGGAAGGCAGCTGTTGAGTACTTCCTCTCTCCATTTTAAGCTGAGCTGAAGTTGGAGGTGACAGTACCCACCTGCTTGTTCCTGGCTCAGAGTAAGCTGAGTAAGTATTTGCTCTCATTCTTCTGTTCTCAGAGAAAAGGACAGACGCATCTGGAAAGCGGTGGTTATCCTTACAGCTTTGATAACTTGAGGCATCAGGCTAGAGTCCGGCTATTTGTAAACAGCACAGAGCAGGTGCTGCTGAGCCTGGGGGGGAGGGGGGTTGGGGGGGTTCTGCTTTTGAGCTTTCCTCTCCGACAGGGAGGCAAGGAGGGAAGCCATTGAGAATAGGGTGTTAGAATGAAAAGCTGATAAAAATAAATTAAACGTGTTAACTATACCATAACTTTAATGACTTATTAAGAAGTATTTTTGAATAGACACAAATATACAATGAACTGTACCTGTCACCTGGCTTTAACAGCCACCATGATTTCTGCCATTCTCCACCTCCTTCCCTCATCCCTGTCTTCTATGGACAGAGTCTGCCCCCCCCCCCCCCCCCCCCCCCCCCGTACCTCCCCGTCTCTCAAGTCTTCCATAGTCCAGGCCAGCCTTAAACTACCATGCAGCCAAGGATGACCCTGAGATTACAGGCCTGAGCTGCCATGCCTGGTTTTATGGTGTCTTGACTCTGTTAATGATGCTATGGTTGATCAGTGAGGCCAGCTCTAGTCAGTAAGTCAGTCAGTCTAGTAAGTAAGCTCTGCCCCTTATAAAACTACAGCTGTCTACCACGAGCGACCTTAGCAACCATCATTGCTACCTGGATGCACGACTGTATTCGGGACTGTAGTGGTTTTAGAATTCTGCCAGTCCTTCAGCATTTATTAGCATCTATGAAGACCATTTTTGGTGGATATGAAATAGAGTTTTAAAGGAAAAGTAGGCTAAATGCTTAACTCCTTTTTATTTTCCAAATTCCAAGTGAATTTGTTGGTGTTACCATTAGGTATTTTGGAGGATGACCAGTAAGAACTCACGGTTTTAATATATTTGAAGTATTTTGGTCCACTGCAGTCTCCCTCCCCCACCTGCCAGTAAGCTCTCTTTTCAAGCTTCCCCCTGAATAGCACTTTATAACTTATGAGATACTCAACACATATCAGTCATTTGAGTCATACAAATGACCCTGTGAAGTCTGATATTATTCCCCATGTTACAGATGAGAAATTGACCTCATGTGGCTCAAACTGAGACTCACCGTTTACTGCTCTTTTCAATATATAAAGCCATGGTTGTGAGAACGAATGAAAGGTGACCGAATTATTTTCCTATTTGTCCTTTCTCTGGCTCTTAGATTTAAATGGCAGACTCTTTTACCAGTGGGAATACAGCATTAAGCAATATCCACTTTAGAAGACATTCTCGGGGCAGACACTGTTGAGAGCAGCGGTCTGCTGATAATACTGTAACTTGGCAAATAGCTTCTCTCAACTTTGTTTGTGAAGCATTTCAATTTTGATTACTCTGTGTGGGAGCTACTGCTCGGATAGATGTGTGTTGTTTTATGGTCTACCCATGTCTGGGGAGCTGGCATTACATGCTGCCTAGTGTTTTTAATTCAGAAGTTCTTCTAAAAGCAACCTTAGCCTCTTGTATTCCAGCCCTAGTTTTAATAGCATAAGCCATTTCCTTCTTCTATGGCGTTGTGGGCATAGTAATAAAATAAATACCACAAAGTCACTGAGGAGATGAAAATTGAGCCCTGCTTCTGTGCAGCCATGTAGGTAAAACAGTAATTGGCTCTGATAATAAGTTTTGTTCTTACAAACCAAAGTCTAAATGAGAGTCACATTTGATATATCTGCTTGTAATTACTATCAAAAGGAGAGAAATGCAAATTTTAGATTGTTTAGTGACTCAAACTAGATGAAAGAAATTGCTGCCTTTTCTTGACCAATTGAAGAAAATTTTCTGAAGTTATTTCTGATATTTCTCTTACTGCCAGAGAAAGATCATCTCCCAGAGAGTGGCTTTTTTGCTTAATGGAATGATTCATTTACTTTTGGTTTTTTTTAATGTATAATTGTTTTTCATAGAAAACTAAACCCTTATTATTAGATCTGACAACACAGCCTAAGCTGATAAGCAAAGCATCCTACAGACTGTATAAGACAGATTTAAGCATTGAATCTATTTGATCATGACTTTCAGTGAAACCATCTTCAATATTTGTTTCATTGCTGGGCATCAAGCCCAGGGCCTCTCATGTGCTAAGAAAGCAGTCTACCACTGAGCTACACCCCCAGCCTGACATATATTTTTACTTAGGTTTAAATTTTATTCATTCATTTATTCATTCTTCATTCATTCATCCATGCACATGTGCTGTGGGGTGGTCTGTATGTCAAATTACTCTGATTGGTCAATAAATAAAACACTGATTGGCCAGTGGCTAGGCAGGAAGTATAGGCGGGACTAACAGAGAGGAGAAAAGAAAGATCAGGAAGGCAGAAGGAGACACTGCCAGCTGCCGCCATGACAAGCAGCATGTGAAGACGCCGGTAAGCCACGAGCCACGTGGCAAGGTATAGATTTATGAAAATGGATTAATTTAAGATAGAAGTTCTAAGTAGATAACAAGAAGCCTGCCATGGCCATACAGTTTATAAGTAATATAAGCGTCTGAGTGATTATTTTATACGTGGGTTGTGGGACTGCGGGGGCTTGGTGGGACCTGGAGAGAAACGCTCCAGCTACACACATGTGCTGATATAGAGGCCAGAGGACAACACTCAGGAGTTGGTTCTCTTTTCCCACATGTGGGACCTGGAGATGGAACTCAAGTTGTAAGGCTTAGCAGCAGTGTGTTTACCCACTGAGCCATCCCACTGGCAGTATTTGTTTTATATTATTTTATTATTTTTGAGACAGGTTTTCATGTAGCCAAGGCTGGCCTTGAATTTCTGATCTTTCTGTCTCCACCTCCCAAATGTTAGGATTATAGGCATGTGTCACCATGCCCAGAATCCATTATTTTAAAAGAGAAATCAAATCATGCAGGCTATGAATTATCATTTTGATAAACTCATGCTTTGGTGCCAAAATGGTGAAGATGAGACTATTAATGATTTTAGGCGCATTGTTCTAGGAGCCCACAATAAGAGTCAGTATTCCAACCTACCATTTCTGTCTGACTTAGTTCGAGAATATCTGTGCCCAGAGGTGTAAAGTAGGGCAGAGAACAACTGAGTCCTAATGCGGTGCTCACAGTACCTCCGCTCATCCCTTCCCCAAGCCTGCCCGGTAGCCACACAAAGTTGTTGGAGCCTGATAAAGCTAAGAAAGCCTCTCTGGTCCACTGAGCCAGTGATCCCAGAATTAAAAAGTTCTAACGAAGCTGAGACATGATAGATGAGGCCATTACTATCAATTGTATCCACAATCCACATTCCTAAAGCATCCTAACATCCTAAAGCATCCTAATTACAGAAACCACATCCAGTCAATATAATACATATTAGCAATTTCCTGATCCTTGGTAGGATGGAAATTATCCTGAAAGTTTAATTAAGAAGGAAAAAATTATGTTCAGGTATTAATTTCAATTTTAAAAAGGCACTCGGCTCTCGGCAAACACGCCAGAGGAGGGCCGGGAGTGTGGGTTAGCCGCAGACAGAAAGCCAGCCGGAACCGGGCTCCACCCCACTTCGTTACCACAAGTACTTAAAGGAGACAGTCACAGCCGTGCCTTGTTTGTGACATGGGTTTCCATGGGTTAAATGCAGAGGGCGTGGAGGACAGTTATCTGGAGGTTTGGTTATTCGGGAGCAATTGAAAACAGAAGGGAAGTGCGGAGCCTGTGTTAGGAATGAGCTCATCCTGACGAGACCTGCCCTCCATTCCTTCTGTAGGCTCCTCTTCACGCTGACCTCAGTCTTCTTGTGAGTGCTTGAGCTGGAAGAAACACACGGACTCTGGAGCAGTCTGTTGGGTTGCTGCAACCATTTTAACACTTGCCTCGGATCACCCTCTGAACTAAAATATTTGATGGAACCCAAATCAAATTTTCTAGTTGCTCCTCATACCTCCAAGTTCCTTTAAAAGCAAAACTCACAAAGCCCAGATATTGTGCTCCTGTTTGTACAAAACGTCCAGAATAGAGGTAGTTATGAGTCGAGACAGAAAGTGTCCTAGGGGCTGCTGGGATAGGGGTAGCAGGACTAGAGAGTGGTTGCTAATGGATGCAAGGCCTCATTTGGGGAGATACAAATGTTTTGGAACTAGGCATTGCTGAGCTGACTTAGCTTTGTGAACCAAAGCACAGGTCAGTAAATTCTATTGTGGGACAAAAGTCGTACATCTCACAAGTGATTCCTAAGTGGCAACTGTCAATTTAACCTGAAGTCATAGACTGCGGATGCTCAGGGCAGCACCTCATGAGAGCATCACCGTTAGCTATTGCCCTTAACAAGCAAACAGGCCAACTTGCCCAGAAGTGAGGCGACTCTGCTGAGTCCCACCCAGCAGTCCAGGCTAGGGTGGTCACCTAGGTCTTGTGACATCCTTCCAATGCCCTCCACCACTGCCATTCTGATAGGAATCCTTTAAAACGAAGAACAGGTCATTGGAACAAGATGCTTTTTTGTTGCCTAACGAAAGTGCTAATTACCGATGGCAAAATCTCTGCAGAGGCAATAGACACATTTGGTGTGGTAAAAATGTGTCATGTCCAACAGCTACCTGAAATGTCCCTAGAGGAATATGGCCACATTAACAGACCAAGAGAGCCCTCTACCTGCCTGTCTGGAGTATAGATTTTATTTACTTAGTCCTTGACCTGGAAAGCCAGGAGTAAATTGAGATGAGAGATTCTTGTCCTTTGTCCATCCTGGCTGACATGGAGCATTAGTTTTTGAGTAGATGAATGGCGTCTGAGGATGTAACTGCACACAAATAGAACACACAGAGGAAAATCTTCCTTTTCTCCGAATAAAAAAGGATTGATTAGTAGCCTAAATAAAAGATCTAGTTTTTTTTTTTCAGTGAGAATTGCATTAAACTTCTTATTTTCCAAGAATTTTATATTCCTTAAAGGATATAACATGTTAGTAAGCATTTTTGTTCATTTTACATAAAAGTTTCATTGTTTCTTTGTTTCAGCCAAAGATAGAGTTGAATGTAAAGATCCTGCAGGATCCAGAGAACATGCACCACAGAGCTGCTGTAAATGCCAACTATGGGATCAGTTTGCCATATATCAACCGGAGAAAAGCACAGGTAAGCGATGAGCTGCTCTAACGAACTCCTAATTCTAAAAAAGCTTTCAGGCCGCTTAGTAGTGGTGTAAGATAGAATGCAGATTTTTAAGTAAGACTGATTCTTTTGTCCTTAGGATATTTTAAAAAAATGAAATGAAGTGGCTTTCATTCTGTCTGTAATTAGTAAGGATTATGAAAAATGTAGACTTATTTTAAAAGATCTATTTGTAGTTCATTCTGATTTCTTTTTTGTTGTGATTGACACTTTTTGAATGAGCTAATGGCATAATTTAACAAGGAGGGAAAGTTAACAACAAGAAAACTTAGTAGAGGAATTAGGACAGTTTGCACAGCAGGCTTCCCACTAGAAAAAGCAAAGGGAGACCACCTCGGAGCATCCTTCCTAGGGGCACTCCCTCGTAACAGTCCAACACGTAAGCAAGAATTCCCAACTCAAAGCGAGCGGGGCAGCATCTCCTTCTGCTGCAAAGTGCTGAAGACAAAGCATCCCACGCAGCAGCCTGAGAGCCGGCCGGCACCCACTGCTGCTGGCTCGTGGCTGAGGAGCTCCAGAGGGAGGACTGGCCTCTTCCCGTGCTGTGGATTTCCTGGAACATCTAGCGGCTTTGTCTTAACTAGGAAACTATTTGGCATCATTTCTAATACTAACAGCAATTTCTAAGGTGAAATCTATGTATTTTGAAAAGACATAATTTTTGGCTCCTCTCAGAGCTCTTAAATGTATATTTTAGTGGAATTAGAACTAAGGAGAAGATTAATTTTAGGACTAAATTTGTCAAACCATTTCTAACTTGCTTGATTATCTCAGATGAAATCATCCAAGTTTCTTCTGTTTTTCAACTGCCTAGATCATCCACAGCATTCAGTCACTCTGGCCTCTGTATTTGCTTTACATTATTCTTACAGGTTTGGATTAAGAGCACTTTATCCTAGAAATATTTCCCAGCCTAAGAAATAACCAGAAAGTTAGATATTTTTATTCCTGTTGGAACTTTATTTAAAACGTCAGTGTGAATAATGTGAAGAGGTTTTTATCTGCTTCCCAGGAGCCCCAAAGTCCTTGAAGTAAAAATATTACTTTTCTGGCTCTACAGACAGCAGCAGATTTCTCTTTTGTTGTTGTTGGTTTTCCTCCTCAATCTAGAATTAATATTGGCTTAGCTGGCGGAGGGCTGCGGCTTTGCAGCCCGGGGCTACTGCCGCATGGCACTCAAACTCTCTGTTGAGGACGCAAGTGTCTGGAGGTCTACTGAGACACATGGGGATTACGCTTTGCTTTGTGACTCCAAGACTCAGACTTAAGTAAGGAATTCGAAGCAGTCCTAACTTTAGGATGTAATCTTAGCTGTTAGTTATATTTTTAAAGATTTACAAGTAGAATGAGCAGCATGGGTATTGTTCCAGTGACACTGAAACAGTGGCAGTTTGAGAAAGCTCACTGCCCTGTGTGACGTGTTAATAACACATACTCATTTATTAAAGATCCTTTTCATGAAAATGACTCCATAAAAATCAACAGCAGTCCACTTTAAAATTGGACATACAGTGTATAGATTTTGAGCAAACTATTTCCTTTCTGTCAAAATAGTTGACCTGTCATTTTGTGTTGGTCTAGATATCAGATGCCACTATCAGAGCGATAGTTTTGTTTGGATTTACGAAATGGAGACATTGCTCAGAAAGCTCTTTGTGGGAAATTCTCAGTTATCTGGTTTTAAACAATCATGTAGTACACCTGGAGGTAAAATACAGCTGGAATTCACCTTTTAATTTAAAAAAATATGTTTTTAAAAGCACCTGCCCAAGCTGTGGCCATGTGTCTCTCATGGTGACACTCAGTTAACTGGAAAAGCAGCAGCGAGGCTGGTCTTTCGGAGTACCTCCTCACACTCAGGGCGGGAGGCTGCCTGGCTGCCGAGGTCACACACTGCCTTATGTCTGTGCAACTTGAACAGCTTGTCAAAAGTCTGCAAATAATTCAGGCATTTTGATGAGCAAATATGAATACATAGTCAGTTTGCATTATTAGTTCCTGGAAGCTGGTGGTATTTTTCATCTGATGAGGAGGTGTCTCCTTCCCTACCATAAGGAGCTAATGGAAGATGTTAGTGCATTAAACACACACACACACACACACACATGCACATGCACACACACACACACACACACACACACACACACACACACACACGAACATGCACACATGCAACACCATATGCATACACGAACACACACACACATGCAACATCATACAATCATACCACAGAACTTGCCTTTAGAACATTATTTTCTGTGACCCTTTTTACATAAAATCAATTTCTAAAAAAAGCACGAAATACAAAACCACTAATGATTTTAGGATCTTAAATGCGCTAAGTAAAAGCTGAACAACCCTGTTCCATGCAATTGCTGGGTTCTCACTGAGGCGGGAGGCAGGAGGCGGGAGGCAAGCGCTGATGCTGCTCTTGACTGCTCACAGCATCTCCTTCCAGTCAGGCCTTACAGTGCAATGCACTGAAAGATCTGTGAAAATTTGACTTTGATTTATTTTTTTCAAATAAAAAGGGTTTCTTAAAAGGCTTGAAACATGTAACTGTTAACATGAATTTTAAAAGAACGATTATGAATGCATAACAGAATGGCCAAACAAAACGTCGCTGTGAATTGCCGCACAAATAACTCTGATTACAACTGTTATGACCTAGAAAAGAGTCGTAAAAACATTTTTCTTTTTGGCAAGCTATGAGTTGCTGGAGAATTATACCAGTTCTTTGGTCCCACTTTCCAAATAAATAAATATATAATGCTATGTAAACTTAGAACCTTTTATTTATTCATGAGGTTGGATTTAATGCTCTGATGACTTCTCGGCTTTATGACTCGCACGTTATACAGTGCTTCTCACTAACGTGGTTGGGTAGCAACCACACTTCACAAATCATAGCTTCATCCTTTACTGTTTCACTCGGTGTGTGCAGAGCAATTGCTCCCGTTGAAAGCACAATCATTTCTGAGATGATAAAGTAATGGAAAGTGAGGCAATTGTGTTAATGTCAAATGATTAGAAGAAGTACCACAAGCGGGGGGTGGGGTGATTTCAAGCCATGATTGTGTTTTAAGCCCATGCATATGGCCACAATTACAGTCACAACATCATTTGGCAACTGTAGCAGAATTAGATTTAAACAAATTGATGTTACACTGCAGTAATTCAGAACGAGCTTGTTGCATTTATAAACCATAACAAGAAGCAGAGTGAATTAATAAACCCTCTTGTCACTAAAAATAAAAAAGGGAATAATTGCTGAGATGGAGTTAACTTAACAGATGACTGCAGTCAGCATCCTTCCAGCCTAGATGTGGCAAAGTGAAGGTCACCCCCATTTCAGATGACAAAGAGGGGATATTTTGTTGGTAAACAAATTAATCTTTGGAAAGGTCGCCATTTGTTTGAAGTTTTTATCCAGTTCTTGTCATCTGGAATCAGAGATTGACTGTCACTGCACCAGGCAGGGGTGCAGGCAGAGCCGACGGAGCTGCTTCTGTTCATATCAGCATTCCTTGACAAAACTCCGTGCCTGATTGGGATGCCATGGGCTGCTGGTTTACAGCTGTCTCCGGACAGGAACGGAGGCCCACCCCTGAATTCCAATAAGATGGGCCTGCATATTTTGCCTGCTGTACGCTGGCCCTCTGCCCACAAGTAAAATGCATTGTAGTTCACGCCAGCAATTATCTCTTTTACTTCCTTCTGTGATGCTTCTGTTCCCCCTTTCCAAAAACAGATGTGGGTATTCATTCAAGTTCGGCGTCTATTCTTCCCCACACCTGCCAGGGCAGGATTTTGACAGAGGTAGAGTCTGAGGGAGCCAGCAGACAACAATCGGATGTAATTTCTCTGAGAGTGGTTTTTTTTGTTTTGGAAATGGTGACTTTTTCCCCCCCCCCCAGGAAATGTGGAGTCAGCATCTTGGTCCCCCTCCCTTTCCCCAGGAGCATTTGGTAAATTAAATTAGTCGAACAAAAGGAAATAGCTTTAAAGACATTCTGAAATGCCACATTCTATTTATGACACACAGTTATTACCCAAGGACTGCAATGGCATGCTCAGCGTTCCCACCTCTGGCAGATACAGACAGCCTTCTCTTGAGGTTGTACAGAGTGTGTTTTGAAAGTGTGTCTCCTGATTCACAGGCTGTAAAGTGTACCCACCGATGTGGCAGCAGCGGCAGTGGTGTGTTGTCTGTGGACACTACTGCTGTTCCTGGGACAATGGGGCTCTAAGGAACACGAGGGGACGCTGGCTGGTGTTCAGCTCCTTCACAAAATGCCCCTGTTAGGAGAGCACAGAGAAGCCATTAGAGGCTGTATGCACTTATCAATTATGTCCATAAAATGCCACGCTGTAGTGAGTTCTCTGATTTCTTCCAAATCCCGTTGTTTATATTTTTTTGGGGGAGATCCTGTATGCACCCTCAGCCAACCCTATGTTGGACTCACAGCACTTCCTAGCACTTAGTGTGGTTATTCTGGGTCACACTGCCCTATGTGAGTCTCTCTAGATGGGGATGCCCTGGAGACAACCTCTACATAAGATGCACTATATTGAGTGTATCTATCCTGTAGGAGGCATCGAGACAAATGAATTAGCAGATCTTGCTGCAAATATGTACTCTGAAAGTATTAGTTCTTACCATTAACAATCTTCACATACTATATTGCACCATTGTTTCATGTCATTTAAAATTTACATTTTTTGTCGGGACCAAGGGAGGGCAACAGACTGTTGCTGAGGGCTGTTCCAGTGATACTATTTAATTTTTCATGTGATCATATCTTTTTTTCCTATACAAATATGAGGATTATGTGTTTTTCAAATCCTCCACTGCACTGAGCAATGCTTTACATACAACAGGTGCTTAGGAGAGGGCTGGCTCACTCTCTCCTCTGTCCAGTCTCTGCTTTGAAGCTAGGTAGTCTGGTGTTGAGGGCCAAAGTGAAATCCTGATTTTGCCAGTCCCAGGTAACCTGGTTGTCCAAAGTCTTCTCCTACGGGGCCACCTGATAGTTTTTTCTAGTGAAATGACCTTGCTCTTGGATTCACAATTCAGCCTTGCCACTGCCTAGCTGGTCCCATGAATGTCACTGTAGCTCGACCACTCTCACATCTCTGTTTTATGGGGGAGGCAAGCTAGATGGGGTGGCAAGTGGTGTGGTGGAACGGGCTTGGGGTCAAATGGAACAGAGCGTGGGTCTATTCTTGAACCCGCAGGTAAGCAAATTAACCTCCTGAGTCCCTTAGCTTTTTCTGCAAAGCCAGGATAATGATGCCTACTAGGTACAGCTGTTACGGGGATTGCAGAAAGTATCTTCACACTGCTGGCATGTAATAAGTGTCCATAAGACTCTCACCTTTCGGAGAGACGAATTAGCATTAACAATCTATTTCCTTCTCCTTGATTCACACCTGTGCTTCTCCCTTCTTCACAGAAAAGAATCTGATTCAACTCCCTCTGCCCTCCAGCATAATGAGGGAACAGGGCTTGCTGCTCTGGTTTCCAAACCGTAGCAGAAAACTACAATGAGTTTTAGAGAGGTTGTGAACATTTAAGACACAATTCATTTTATGACAAATCCTTTAAAGTGCAGCGAAGGACAACATGCTTATTTGAGTTAGATACCAACATGATAATGCATTAGACTGCCCTACACGTGCAGGCATGTGCACAGTGGGATTTCATCAAATCAATTATAGTTTTGTACTGGTCACATTTGGAAAATTCAGATGTGCTCATATGAACTTCTGTGATAGTCATATGTATGGATAAACAAATGTGAAAGAAGCCAATTTTGAGGGCTGGAGAAATGGCTTGGCAGTTAAGAGCATTCATTTTTGTAGAAGACCCAAGTTCAGTTCCTAGCACACATATCATGGCTCACATCCATCTGTAAGTCCAGTTCTGGTGAATCCAATGCCCTCTTCTGACCTCTGTGGGTACCAGGCACACATGTACTGTACATACATACATACATACATACATGTAGACAAGACATTCAAATGCATGAAGTAAGTAAATTTTTTTTCTTTAAAAGGGCAATTTTCACATCAAGGTCTGATCCCTAGAAAACCTGTGCAAACTAATTGATAGGACCACTAGGACGGGTGCACTGCAGTGGGACCACCAGGACAGGTGCACCGCAGTGGGACCACCAGGACAGCTGCACCGCAGTGGGACCACTAGAACAGGTGCACCGCAGTGGGACCACCAGAACAGGTGCACCGCAGCGGGACCACCAGGACAGGTGCACCGCAGCGGGACCACCAGGACAGGTGCACCGCAGTGGGACCACTAGAACAGGTGCACCACGGTTACAAGCTGGAAGGGTCCTCTGATGCCTGCTGTGGCACAGCGTAGTTGGCAACTTCACAGCTTCAGCCACCAACCTTAGAGCACAAGACATGGCCTTGTGTTAGGCTGCTGCTTCTGTGATTTGAAAGTAGACATTACTTTATTTTGTAGTCTAGGGTAAAAATGGTAATTTATTGATTATGGCAGATACCAACCAACAATAAAGCACCATTTCAAAATGTATATTTAATATCCCAAACAAAATTAGATTGTTTTTGAAATTTGAGTGAATAAGTGACAGAGAAGGTACTAAGACAATTGAAAAGGAAGAGGGTCCATTGGGAAATGACATTTCATGCAAGTGCTATGGGTTCTTTAGTCTTTTGATAATACAGCATGTCCAGTGTATAAGATATAGTACCAAGTGCCTGATGCATGCTATCTTATTTGACCTTTGAAACTATAGAATATATTCCATTTATATGACCATTTTGCAGATGAGGAAACTGAGGAAGGACACCACCTGTCTAAGGTTATGTAGTAAGGAAAGATAATCAGGACTCAAATTTGTTGTGGAGTCCACTCCTCAGGGTTCCCTAATTGAGTCACTACCAACAGATGCTTAGTTATTAAGGAACAGGAGCAGTTACTAGATGTTAGGAATTCTATCTTAAAATAAATTTCCCTACTATTCTTCAGAGTGTCTGGATTATTTTAGCTAAGGGAGTCCTGAAACTATACCGCCATAATAAATGACTGGCTATTTAAAATGATTTGCCTTTTCACGCCGGGATTTTTTTTCATATTGTGTAGGCAAAATAAAATATACAAATAAATGGCTATAAGACTACACAGTTATTACTTACGATTCTTGAATTGATAATTTGCCTTAATCAAAACAACTTCATGATTTCCAATGTTGACTGACTTATGTAGATATATTTTATTATATGCCATCATAGTGAGATATATGAGTATTTATGTAATATGCACATGTATGACATTTTACATGCTCCTAATTTTGAACATGTGAAGGTCAACAGAGAATTGTGCTACCTTCTTATGGCATTCACATTTATTTGCATATCAGCCTTTAGTTAGTTAGTTGCAGTAGAAACAGGGTCTACTGCTGGAAAGAAACGTGAGAACCTTTGGCATGGAGGGTTACCTCTCCCCTGTGGATTTTCCTTTTCACAAGAGTAAATCCTCTAGTTAATTAAAAGGAAGGAGAGAAGCTCTCCGGAGGGATTTCAAGCATGAGAGGACAGGGAGAAGGGAGGTTGAGGGGCAGTGGTCCGGGAAGGGACCTTTGCACTGCTCTGTATTCACCCCATATTAGCAGCAACCTGCTCTCAGCTGGGCCCACTCCCTTAAGAGACCCACTTTTCCCTCTGTGCCTGGGACTTTAGATCTGAGCATTTGAGTCCATGCTAAGAGGCAGTCAGCTTGACCTCATACTATCACTTTGAAAAACTAAACGCTAGGTAGATAGGGGAGTCTAAGTCAACACATGCACACACACACACACACACACACACACACACACACACGGAGGCAGACATATTTGATAGGGTTAAATCAAAAGGGAACTACAGATAGAATTATATTTCAATATAATCAGGCTCCATTTTATTATTAAATAATATTTATTTATTAATAATAATCATTAAATAGTTTGTTTTTAAGACAGGTCTCATGTAGCCCAGGCTGGCCTTAAACTCTTGATCCTCCTGCCTCAGTCTCCCAAATGTTAGGATTATAGGTGTGCACTACCAAATCTGGCTTGCTTTTCTTTGCATTTTATTTCATATGTTTACAAAACATTATTCTGAGAATGGGTTTATAGAATTTACCAGACTGATAAAGAAGTGACTTCCCTAATTAGATCTCTCTGTGATCAATATTTTCTTTCATGCAAATATCCACTATGAGACAAAGAATTCGTCAAAAGTTTCCCAAAAGTTGCCATATTGTGTACTAATTGTTTTAATGCCCAGGATGGAAGCTGTGTTCTTCCTGTATGAAATAGTCACTGCTCTTAGTTGATGATGAAGAAAACTTTCCAGAAAGAAAGGAAGAAAGAAGGAAGGAAGGAGGGAGGGAAGGAAGAAAGGGAGGGAGGGAGGGAGGGAGGGAGGGAGGAAGGAAAGAAGGAAGGAAGGAAGGAAGGAAGGAAGGAAGGAAGGAAGGAAGGAAGGAAGGAAGGAAGGAAGGAAGGAAGGAAAAGATATATCTACTGTACAAACTCGAAACTTTTATAAGAACTGTACTTTCATGAGTGAAAATGGAAAACTTTACACTCTGAGCCAATCACTTGGGAAGCTGAGGCAGGAGGATCAGACAAATTTGAGGTCAGCCTGAGCTACAGTGTGAGACCCTGACTCAAACAAACAAACAAACAAACAAACAAAAAAAAAACAGAATAAAACCTTCATTCTTTGACTTCATTATGGTTGCTTTTGTGTTACAAGAATGAGAATGGAGCAGTGTAAACACGTTACAGTGAGCTCTGTTTAAAACAAGGGGCTGGAGAGATGGCTCAGTGGTTAAGAGCATTAGCTTCTCTGCTCTTCCAGAGGTCCTGAGTGCAATTCCCAACAACCATGTGGTGGCTTACAACCATCTATAATGGGATCCAATGCCCTCTTCTGGTGTTCAGACATACATGTAAACAAAGCACTCATATACATAAACAAACAAACAAAAACTGAAGCCAAGAATAATAACAGTGTGGTAGCTTGAATGTTATTGGTCCCCATAATCTCACAGGGAGTGATACTATTAGGAGGTGCGGTCTTGTTGGAGGAAGTGTGTCACTGTTGGGGTGTGCTTTGAGGTTTCCTCTGCTCAGGATACTGCCCAGTGTCTCAGTCAACTTCCTGTTGCCTTCTGATCAAGATGTAACCAGCATCATGTCTGCCATGCTCCCTGCCATGATGATAATGGACTGAACCTCTGAAACTGTAAGTGAACCACCCAATTA